TAAAATTGACAAGATGTGTACCTATCTGGGAAAGTAAGCTGACTTTAGAATTTGCAGGCAAACAGTCAAATTTATAGAAAGTCAGCACACAGTTCCTGGCTACAGAGCACTTAATTGGACTCTAGATGAACTCTAAAGGGAATATTGTCTGATTTATTTATTCCTGTTCAAACTAGCCTAGAGACTTATCTTCAATAATGTATGTTAAATGCCACAAAGAGAAGCACTTCACTGAACTCTGTACCTTCTAAAAGGTAGCTCTGATGTTTTCAAATTTGACAGCGAATTACAAAGTATCATACTCTAGTCTAGAACCTAAATAGATTCAGTTCTGCTGAAAATGTTTAAAATGTTTTTAAAAATCCTACCACAGGGGGCAGCAGAGTACATGGAAAGAAAATGGCCTTTTAAAATTTTAATTAGGCAGATGAGATTACAATCTCTTGCCATTTACAGTGTGATCTTTGGATAAATAAATTCTCCTTGGTATAACATCTGTCATAAGAGCTTGCAAAAATGGTGGGCTTCATAAACAATTCCTGATTACCTTTATTCTTGGCTTTCAACATTAGGAGAGTTTGGAAACTTCTCTGTAGATTACTGCTAGGATCCCATTTAAAAAAATCTTTAGTGATAGAGGGAAAGAGGAAAACACTGATAATATTAGGAGTTTTAATACATTTCAATATTTAAAAATGTAAAGAACTATCAAAATGTTTTTTTTACTCCAGCAAGGGATGAAGCTCCAATGACAGACAGAGCCCATGCCTGACAAATTCAATCGCAGGCACAAACCCCACTTTCCAGCATCACTGGGTGGACTCTGCCAGCCCACAGGAAAATTCTTTATTTTCCTCATTCATGTCATATTTGCATATGTAGCATGCTCAAGAATTATGAATAAGTAAATCTGGCATCCACAAGGTATGTCTAATGTTTAAAAATAATAATAATCACCTTGTGAGGCTACAGAAGCATTATTGGATATCAATGTTAAATTATACCCTTCTCAAATGTCAAAAATTGAGAAAGAAATGGTGGTCTAGAAGTGTTTTACTTTTATAATGATCAAGAATGTAAATTTAACCCAAAATGAAATGGTTGAAACAATGATGTGTTTTCCCCTCCATCCCACCTATTAAACATATTAAGATAATTATAAACAATGATGAATAAAAATACTCTAAGAGCTAGAGAGATAGTCCAGTGGGTAAGGCACATACCCTGCACATGGCTGACCCATCACCCCATATGGTCCCCTAAGCCCAGCAGGAATGATCCTTAAGTGCAGAGCCAGGATTAAACTCTGAGCACTGCCGCGTGTGGCCCCAAAGCAAAAAACAAAAAAAGAATAAAGTACTCTGGAGATGATCCTGAAAAAGTTTTCCCATAGGTACAAAAAGGAAAACTGGCCAAATTCAGATTAAAATTAAGTCTTTATAAAGGGATCAGAGCTTTAGTGATCAAATATTTTTTTTACTCTTCTTTCCATAATTTGTGAAGACAAATGATCTTAAAATAAACAACATCTCAAACCTTTAGGCACATATTTAATATACATGTACATAATTTGGATTAGCCCTGCTGCCAGAACTCAGTTCGTTAATATGGCCCTGCATGTGAAACACAGTCATTCATGATTAAGACTCAAGTTAGTAGGAAAAGTGAATTCTGTACTCTATATTTATAGTATATTCTAATCTAGTATACTACATCTAAGGATGCAAGTGGACTATCTACATGTTCTGTTTACAATTTCATCTTGTAGAGAAAGGAAAAGATAAAGCACTTGTCAAAACCTACAGTGTACTGGAACTTTTCCTACTAAACACTATGACTTCTAGTTTTGAAAAAGATTAAACTTTGCCTAGCTAGAATTCTAGTTTTTCATTTAAAATGCAGCATAAATCACTGATAATTTTGCAGCACTCAGCAAGACTTAGTTTTGATTAAACTTATTTCTTAGATAAGATTATGCAATTAAATATCACTATTACTCCAACTGAAAACCTTTGAGAAAGAGTCAAGCAATCAACTCCTTTTTAGATACAGTAACACTGAAGGAGAGAGAGAAACCAGACAGAAGAGAGGTAAAACTGCCTCCCTGGCTGTAGCAACTGTCAAGTTTTCCGGCCTCCAAGCTGACATCTAAGGTACTTGCTTCAATATCTTGAGACAGGGAGGGTGAATCAGCGTGAAAAGCCCTATGTGAAGTCAGTTACTTCTTAGACCAAACCAACTAAACAAAATCCAAACTTGCAGGTAAGTTAGGGGTATAAGAAATAAACATGTTTTATTTCTTAATTGTTTTGGGGGTTGAGCCTCACCTGGCAGTGCTCAGGGCTTAATGCTGGCTCTGAGCTCAGGGATCATTCCTGGCGTGCTCAGAGGACCATATGGAGCACCAGGGGTCAAACCACATAGACCACGTGCAAAGCAAGAGGGCTACCTACTGTACTACCTCTCTGTAAACATGTTTTAGAGTCTAAGCTTCATAGGTTGAAACAAAAATGATAGAGCAATTCAATAGTAAACCAAAAACCAGGAATAAACTCTGAGTACTGCCAAATGTGGCCTAAAAAACAAAGACGTCTAAGACATTTAAATCCAGGTCAAATTAGGTTAAAGGAGATAATGTTAAATCTGCTTGTATGGTTTTATGAGTTAATGATTCACTATAAAAAACATTTTAATAATAAAAAAGAAAAGCATAAACCAATATAGACACCATTTTGGTTCCTTTCCAAAAGAACGGTTTAATTCATAAGTCTACATTGACATTCATGGTTTCTACTTAATTTTCAATTGATAAAAAAAATCAAGAGCACATAAATATAAAAATATAAAGCACTTGGAGGTCTAAATTGAAGAATAGAAGTCGTGTTATAATACCACTTTCATTCTGAATATCATTTTTCCACTTTCTCCTCTTTGAACAGAACATTAACTAGCAACACTGCCAAAAATAATGATTTGAAATAAATTCTAACTCCAGCAAAAAGTATAGGGTGTGTTATTCAATTTCCATTCATTTCAATATTACCAAAATACATAGAAAATAAAATTTGATGTAGAGGAAAAGTGAGTCCATGCTTCAATTTTGGAGCTGGTCAGCAAGGTATATCTAGAAAACTATTTCCATTTTTGATTATGGTCTTGTATGTGGTGTGAGAAAGAGTGTGTATTCCATTTCTCTACACTAAAAATCTTTTTTTTTAATTATGGAGCACTTTAAACATGCTTATAAAACAAAAGAAATATATTCATGAACCATATGCTCTGTTACCCAGTTTCAATCATTAGTAACTGGTCATCAATAAATTTTCTTTCTCTTCTCCCCTTCAATGCTATTTTGAAGCAAAACCCAGATACCGTATCATTTTACTTTGAGATAAGATGACAGGGAAAAGAGAATACATTGAAAAACTAGGTAGTGAGAGAAATAATGCTATTTCTTTCTCTACTATTACCATCTCTTGCCATGAACACAATTTTAAGTGAGATAATATCCCTAACACTGAGGAAGATGTGCATATATACTATTCTGAAGAAGAGCTGGTAATTCCAAATTTACTGCAGTTGCTTAATTAACTTTCAGCTTCCAATTCAGGGAGACCTAAATATTTTGGCACCTCCCTACACGTGCAATAGAGAAGATAATAATGGAAAGCAGTGACAGTGTAACTGGACAGTGTATTTCAGTCCCTAATCTCTGACAGAGTCTCAGAGGGCTATACACCCACTGGAAATGGTATTCTCAGCACTAGATTATGCTTAAAGTCCCTGAGTTGATTAGGTTCCACCAGTTTGGATAGGAGCCTGACTGTCTACCTCTAAAAACATTGTCTACAGCTAACTCTGTGGCTACCAATAGCTAAATGAGATAAGGAGAAAGATACAAAGTGCTATCTCTCAAAAATGGGAAAGAAAAAGAAAACTGCCAGCAAGGGAAGTAGTGCCAGAAACTTAACACAAAGTTGGAGACTCAAAACAATCTTCATACACTCTTCTAACTGACAGTAAAGATCAGTCAAAGTTGTTTGGAAATCCTACAGTAAATCTTCATACCCACTTTGAGAAGTAAATGCAGTATTCCACTGAAGTGGATAGAATGAAAAACCAATTACCCTCAGGTTCTAAATAGTTAAAAAATAAAAGGAAATCAAGTGGTGAAGATAGTACTTCAAATTTTTGCTGATACAGAACACAGGAAAAAAAGCCTTAATAAGTTTAAGTATGCCCAAGTCTAGTAGGTGAGCTTTTATAGAAACACAGACTTACCTAATAACAAAATATTCAAAATGTTAACAATCAGGTGGTAATTTCATCTTGTTTTAGTACATAATAAACTATTCTCAAATAATGGGAATTTTAGTAATTATAATGAAAGGAAAATTAATTTGGGACAGCTTCCAAAATTATGTCTTGGCATTAGCATCTGTGAATACACAGCCTACCCACCTTACCAGGTGTGTTTTATAAACAAAATTCTTCACTAAGGGATTTAAACAAATCATGTTTCACTCGAACAATACCCACGCACAACTTACTAACCACTGATCAAGGGGAAAAAGGCATAATTTAAAAAAATGGGGGTATGTGTGGGGAGCAGTGTTGAGAGGATACTCCTGGATTCGTGCTCACAGTTCACTCAAGGCTCTGCTCAGAAGACTAGATGCAGTTCAAGATGGAGAATAGAGATCAGCCACATGCAAGACAAGCACCTTAACACCTGTACTCTTTCCACCGCCAAATTTTAAAAGCCTTTTCATAAAATAGAATCAATGACCTTTCATTTATAAGATTGTTAGGATACAGATATAAGATTGGTATACCTATTTTGAATACTTTCTAATACTGTCTGAAAAACAAATACTAGCTCACTTTATTATTACACATCTGAGGATTAATTTTGCAATACAAAGACTCTCAGAAAGTTTATTACAATTAATATGCATATGTAAAATTTCTCAGCTGAACAGCAGACTATACATACTCACTTTTGTTGTCTTTGTATAGAATGGGGAGGAGAGTTGGTGAATAGGCAGGTCCACAATACTACTGGAGTTTGTGACACTGTTACTGTGCGTGTGTTCGTCTTCCCTGCTACTGTCATCAGACTGATCAAAATCGTCACTCTCCTGGTCCATTTCCTCTTCTTCTTCGTCCTCCTCATCTTGTTCACCAGCGTGTTCTTCATCTTCCTCTTGCTCTTCTTGGTTTCCTGAGGAGTCCTCATCTACTGAAATAAACCGATTATTGTTTTCTTCCAGTTGCCCTTGCTGGGAATCATTCTGGTCTCCAGATCGTGGTTCTGCTCCGACAACTTCACCATTCCTTGCAGTGTGTTCCTCCTCTTGTCTCAGCTGCTGCTGCTGTTCCTCCTCTACCACACGATTCATCTGCTCTTCATCTGCCTGGCTTGAGGAAGGGTTACCTCTCAAAGAGCCTCCAGTTCGTCGTCTTTTGCTGCCCACAGAGAGCAGTTCCTGATTCATTTCCAAAAGCCAGCTTGCTACTTCTTGGACCTTGGCTAGACTATCAGAAGACGCAAAGGCTTTCACATTCTGTAGGGAAAAAATGAGGGGGTGGGGAGAAGGTTTACATTATGTCCGCTTAAGTCTAGTTATCTTTTACTTTCATCTTATATGGCTACATACCAATTTCAGTAAAAAATGCAAAAAGCTTTTGAATCATCGAAAGGTGATTTTTTTAGGAATCAATATAGGAAATTTAAAAAAATTAAGTTAGAACATTATAAAGACAAACACAAAAAGTATGTAGTATATAAGCTCTTACTATATACTTTTTGTGTTTGTCTTTATAATGTTCTTTACCTGAATCTTTTACAAATAATTTTAGAAGCTCTATAGTTTGTTTTGGTCAATAAAATTATTTAACAAATGAGACAATTTTAAATTTTAGATCAGCAGTTCATGAATTACATAGCTCCTTCATAAAACTTTGTTTTATTTTGGTTTTTCAGCTACATTTTCAGTGCTCAAGGGTTACTCCTGGCTCTATACTCAGAGCTTACCCTTGGTGGGGCTTGAAGGGACTATATGGAGTGCTGGAGATTGAACGGGGGTTGAGTTGCATACAACACAAGCAAGCACCCTGCCCTCTGTACTACCACTCTGGCACATCCTTTACAAATTTTATTGCTTCATCTGTCTGTGTGTGTCTCTCTCGCTCTCTCTCTTCTCTCTCTCTCTCTCACACATACACACACACGCACACACACTTTAGTGCTCAGTTAAGTTCAAGAAACACTGAGGTATTATCAAGTTAAAAAGTTTTTATACCCTAGAAATTTCTCAAAACTTCTCTGATCAAAGAAACTTGTTTTTCCAGAACTGCCTGACATGTACAAAATATAATCATTAAAGTTTTCACTTTTCATAATAATATAAACAGCAAATAAACAAAAAACATATCTTTGAAAAAAAGGTTTGTAAGTTCATACCCTCTGACCCAGTAACTCCACTTCTGGCAATCTATCCTAAAGGAGTAATCCTAAAACAGAAAAAAAAATTATGCAGAGGATGTTCACTGAAGCTTTATCCATAAAAGCTTAATAATAAATAAAAATAAATAAAAATTAATGTAGATTAAAAACAATCAAAAGCCGAATGTTCAAGACAAAGAAATCTATGGGATGAATATAATCAAAGGAATGCAATTCCTAGAATGCTTAAACATGATGCTAATTTAAAAAAATTTTAAATGGATATTTAAATTATGCTAAAAGCAAAATACAGAAATTACATGAGTACATAAGGATTAGACAACATATTTCAAAGTATAAAATGCATTTAAGCAGTATAACAAATGAACTTACTTTTACCATGTTTCTCAAAATCAAATCAGGCAAGATTATTTTTATTTTTTTTTAACCAGCGGCTCCATAGTTTGATCTGATATAAAATGTTTTAATACTGATCACTTAATTTCATCCTTTGATCACATGTACATACAAGATTAAATAACCCAATACTAACATATTGGTTAGGGCTGGAGTGATAGCACAGCGGGTAGGGCGTTCGCCTTACAAGCGGCCAACATGGCCGACCCGAGTTCGATTCCTCCGTCCCTCTCGGAGAGCCCGGCAAGCTACCGAGAGTATTGGATATGCCAGACACAGTGACAACAAAGTCTCCAATGGAGACGTTACTGGGCCCGCTCGAGCAAATCGACGATCAACGGGAGGGCCTTTACCTTTACCTTTAATACTAACATATAAATCCATATAAAACTCCTTTATAAATATATTTTAGGATTTTTCCACTGTGGAGAAGTCAATCTCCAGAATCTCTCTCACCTGCTCGCTCCACACATCTCTCTAAATTTTTTAATAGAACTATTCTGCTTTACCAAAAAAAAAAAAAAAAAGGCTCAAGAGACAAAAAAAAACCCTACAACACTCATTTTCTACTTTTAGTTTTTTTACTTTTACGTTACACCGAAGGTGCTCAAGGCTGACTCCTGGTTTTATGCTCAGGGATCACTCCTGGCAAGCAAAGGGGATCACAGAGGGTGCAGGGTATGGCCCTACAATATCTTTTCTCTATGCACTTTAGATAAGTCTTGCTTTTTCCCATCCTTACCACTAGATGGCTGATACCTAAAGGTCCACAATTAACACTTCAAGCTTTGAAACAATAAAGAAAACACCAAGATATAGCACAATCTCATTTTCTTTTCTATAATCTATACATTTTTAACTAATCTGAAGTATGGGGTGAAATGCATTCATTCTAGTAGGACTAGAAGTGTGCATGTCAAAAGAACATCTCCAAAGAATTAGCCCTGTGGCACATCAATATTCAGAAAGAGGCTTTAACTAGCTTGATGGCTAATAAGGAAAACCAGGAACAAATGGTATCCTTGAAAGCAAGTAAAGTAAATCAATGATTTGTCACTACAAGTTATACAAAGGCATAATACATAGAATTGGCTACTGAACTCAGCAAATTGGAGGGTGCTAGAAAGAGAAGCAGTTTTGGAGAGTTGGAGTCTGGTTATAAAGTAGATTTAAGAGACTGAGGAAAGAGGCTAGGGATGGTGGATACAGACAAGTTAGAAGTTTGCTACAAAAGAGAACCAAGGTGGGGGCGGTATTGAAAGTACATTGAGAGTACATTTTGATTCTTTAAGACTAGAGAATTAGCAGTATGTTATAAACTGAAAAGAATGATCAGCTACAAAACAAAAAGCTAATCATGGAAGAAAATAATAAAATAGTAGGTGATGTAATTAACTGATGAGAATTCTGAAGTGGAAAACCTAGCTTTCGTTAAGAAAATGGGTGCTTCACTTACAGGAATAGATGAAAAAACACCTTAGGAGCTGCAGTGATCATACAGTGAATAGGGCATTTGCCTTGCATGTAGTCAACCCACATTCCATCCCTGTACCTCATATGGTCCCTCAAGCTTGCAGGAGTGATTCCTGAGCATAGAGCCAGGAGTAAACCCCTGAGCATCACTAGGTGTGACTCAAAAACATTTTTTAAAAAGTACTTTAATGGGGGGATAATGTGTATGGGCCACATCTGTGGCGGTGTTCTGGGGCTCTATGCACAAGGCTCACTCGAGGAAGTTTTTGGGGGGACCTATGCCGTGCCAGGCATCAACCTGGGTTGGCCACATACAAGGGCAAGTGCCTTAAACACCATCCTATCTCTCCTACCCCTAAATTTATTTTATTCAACAATATTTCTCAATGCAGACAAGTGCAGAAGTAGAGAAATTTTAATGGTGATAGCAAACTTTGGAAGTACCTTTCTTTGGAACAATGGGGGCTAAGGCAAAAAAGCAAGATCATCAGCTCAGAGTGACCTTGGAAGAAGAGGTGTCAGAAATTTGAGAAAAGGTATAAAACACTTTTCTAAGAAAAAACAGAACATTCTATGGTGCATGTGATTATGCTGATCAAATGTAATCAATAAATGATGGCAATACATGTTATATGTGTGACTTGTAGAGTCAATTGCTTCTTATTTCAATTTGGGGAAGCACAATACAAAATTACTATTTGAAGTAGACCAAAACCATCAAATAAAACTGCCAATTCTCAGCAAGCAGAAGGTAGGATCTTATAGAAAAAATATATATACATGTATTTTATACATATTTTCATAAAATAAACTACAGAAAAATTAATTTTATCAAAAATTTTCCAGTTGGTATATTCAAAGACAAACTATAATAACGTCAGAGAAAAAGCGGTTGAAAGATAGTACTCAGACTAATCTCTAAAAGATGCCACAGCTGAATCATCCCATGCAGCTGAGTCTATGGGTTGGGTTCTCTAGGGCCTTCTCAGGATGGCAGAGGCCTGAGCTGCCACCCTACTGACAGGCCCAGCATCCCAATTAGACTTGACATCTACCAGCATATAAATGGGCGAGCTTCACAGCTCCATGGCTAATCTCAAAGAGATGCGAAACTGCTGAATTGTACCAGTTCCACAGCTCCTGGAGCACACAAACATATGCGCAGCAAGGGACATCTCCAAATTTCACAACACTGACAGTCCTGTAAGAGCAAACCAGATGGGAAGCTGAGTAGAAGCCCACTAAGCTCAATGAATGAAAACAACAAAGAAGTCCCAACCAGCACTAAGCAGCTCAGTAAATCCTCAGAAAATGACTTTAGTAACACCACTGTGATATAATTTTCATAAATCTTCTACTGAATTATTTTTTGATAATTTCTTTTGCCATTTTGTTTAAAGAAGCAATATAAAATAGTTTTTTGTGTGTCTGCTAAGGGGGTATGCTTATCAGGTGGGTGAGAAAACGGGAACATTGGTGGAGGCAAGGCCACACTGGTGATGGGACTGATGTTGGAACACTGAATACCTGAAACAACTGCATTATGTACAAACTTGTAAATCACAACTTTAAATAAAGTTTCAAACACATAAAGAAGCCTCAAAAATACTGGCCTAAACCATAAGTGACTGTGTATATATACAAATCTATATAAAGATATATGGTATCCCACTATACAGAGGAAAATATGCTACACAGAGACTTTCTTCAAAATCTACTGTAGTAAATGTAGTTAAATTCTAACTCTCCGTTACTCCAGATATATTTTTAATTTGTAGGTTTATGCAGAGAATAATACAGGTCCAAGAAAATTCTCTGTGTCCAATGTACATATTTTTGTAAGATGAAAACAGGTCACAGTACATATTAACAGCAATTTACAAAGTGAAAACATGCAAGAGCAAAGGTCACAAAATAAACCATAAAAAAAAAAAAAAGATGTGCAAAGAAGGGAAGAGACTGTGTTGAGTAGCCAGTCTATCAACAAATGGAATGGTGCTGTCTGGGATTTCTAAAACAGTACCAGAACTGGTCAACAAAAGTCTTACCTATTACTGAATGGGTAACAAATATTCAAATCACTGCCACTGATAACTTCAGCGTTATAAGGAGAGGGGGATAGAAGAACAGTAAAGAGTCTAAATTTAAGTCAATAAAGTCAACTACATATTCAATAGTTACAATGTCATGTGTAAATAGCTTTCAAACTGGTGGATTCTTCTTTTAGATTTTGGGTTTCATTTATCTTTTTTTAAATTTTGTGGTCACAGTCAGTAGTGCTCAGGGCTTATTCCTGGTTCTGTGCTCAGGAATCACTGCTGGTCAGGCTAAGGGAACCATCTGGAAAGTCAGGGATCAAACCCAGGCTGGGCACATGCAAGGCAGGCACCTTACTTGATGAACTACCCAGCAAAAATGCATACAGATTCGGATAGACCTGCCTGGTCAAAAATGGTCATTAGAAACGGTAACACATAAGCTTCAGAAAATATACAATAACACAGCTAAGTGTTAAATGGTAGAAGTCCTAGAATATTTGAAGAAGGTGAAAATATCTAATTGTGTAATATCTAATATTTAATTGACAAAATATCTAATGGGCCTTAATTTTTTTTCTAGATGCCAAATATACTGAGTTGAATTTTTATGATCCATTTTTGGGGCAGCAAAACAGGAATAAACACATAAAAACTTAGGAAGGGCTAGAGTTGTGCCTCATGGTAGAGCACTGACTTGGAAAATTTCATTTTCTGTTGGTAGTCACAAATTGAAATTTAACCCGAAAGTTATCATTTTCAGAAAATCAGTTCTTTCTAGTCTATTAAATAACCTAATTAAAATAACAAATACATGTTCAATAATTAGGAAATCATGATCAAGTATTACCTACTTTAAAATCGATAAAAAAATTTTTAAGTAACTTCTTGGTTTGGGGCCACACCTGGTAGTATTTTAGGAACATGGTGCTCATGGGTAATTCCTGGTGGTATGTGGTGGGACCATACATACATACATCAGTGATCATATCAGGACATTCACATTCAAGACCTTAATGCTCAGAACAATAATTTTTGAACAGTAACACCCAGTATTAAAAATATATATATCATGATCAAAACTTGAAGCTGCCACACAGGGAAAAAAATCTAAAGTATTATCAAAATAATGCATTTTGTAA